TTTTGAACGACTACTACATTTGAGAGCCATTGTGGGTATTGCACCTCTCAAATGAATCCTGCTTGTAATAGTTTATTTACTTCCTCGACTATTATGCGATTCCGTTCAGGTGCGAACCGTTGGTGCCTCTGCTTGACTGGCCTGAATTCTGAGTTAACCCTCAAACTATGGCATGAGACTGTAGGATCGATCCCTACCATGTCCGAGTGATCCCAGGCAAAGACATCCGAATTGCACCGAATGACCCCGATCAATGCTTCCTTCTCTTCGGCTGTGCAAGATGAGCCAATGTAGGTGACCTTTTGAGGTTCTCCGAGGACTACCTCTATAGCTTCGAGGGACTCCTCGGTAGGTGCTTCAGCCTCGGCTTTTTCCTCTACCTTGAGATACTTGGGCAGAGGATACTGTAACTGCTATTTGATTACGTCTTTGGGATTCGTCTCTGACTGAGGTGATTTCGACGCCTTCGTTGCTTTATATAGCGTTAGCATGTAACATTCTTTTGCAGCAACCTGGTCTCCCCAGAGGTCGATGACCTCCCTGCCATCTGGGGATAAACACCTCATTACTTGATGAAGGGTAGAGGGGACTCCGTTCATACGATGAATCCAACCTCTCCCCATAATGAGGTTATAAGATGATGAATCTCCGTCACGACAAAGTTCTCCTTCAGAGTCCTCTTTGCTACAGTAACGGATAGATCGATCACCCCAAGCGGATTCACCTTAGTACCATCAAACCCCATTAGGGGGCTGGAAGTTGGCCTGATGGACGATGGTGAAACCCCCAGTTAATCGAAGGCTGTTTTTGTAATGATGTTGGCGCTACTTCCCGGATCTATCAGCACCCTCCTGATCATATAATTCGCCACTAGGAGGCTGATGACCAAGGGGTCTTCATGCGGGTGCTGGATTCTAGACAGATCATTGTTACCGAATCTAATGTTGATGCTGCCTGGCGCAACCGTGTTTACCGAAGACAATCTTTGTAACTTATGAGCCTCTCTCAGCCTGGATCTGTATAACTCTTCAGACTCTTCATCATCCTCTGACCTTCCGTGTATGGCATGGATAACCTTTACCTGACCGCCCTCTACCCGTCGAGGGTTAACCTTCCGCGGTTTTACGTAATCCTTCGTGGCGAGATACTCCACCAACTCTCCTCTCACTATCATGCTTTTTACCTGTCGCTGAAGGGACCTGCAGTTATTGGTGGTATGCCCATAGTCTCTATGGTAGGCACAATGTTTGCTTTTATCCCTCTGCTCCAAGGGTTATTTCATGGGCTGAGGAGTTGCGAACCTCGTCTTATTCTCTTAGAACAGGAGCACTAAGGTAGTACGGAGAGGGGTAAGCCTGTCCTCTGTCCTTTGCCTCTTCTCAGGCGCTTGGGTGACTTGTGTGGCGGCATGAGGAACCTTCTACATCCTTGTGCTTGCAGCTTTCTCTCTAGACTTGTTTTCCACTGTGATGAGGGTAACGTGCTGTGCACGGTGGGCTACGTTTTCCTCCAACCGAATATAGATTTGTGCCCTAGCGTTCAAAGTCTGCATATCCGGGGGGGAATATTTGATCAAGGATGTGTGAAACTTGGTTCCCTGGATCATTGCCAACTTAAATGTTTCGATTGCCGGGGCAAGGTGGCAATCTGCTATCTCCGAGGCTTCCATGTTAAACCTAGATAAGAAATCTTGCAGAGTTTCTCCCTTCCTTTGCCTTATGGTGAAAAGGCTGGCGATATTTTTCTTCTGCTTCTTATTTCCGCAATACTGGGCTAAGAACATAGTGCACAAGGTCTCATAATCAGGGATAGATTTGTGTGGCCTATTCCTGAACCATTCTAACGCTGCTCCGGTTAAACTGGTAGGAAAAACCTTACACATCCACGGATCGTTATGATCGTCCAGTGCCATCTTTTGCGCATAATGATCGAGATGCCAAGAGGGGTCTCCTGCCCCATCGAACTGGGTGAAGGATGGCATAGTGAACTTCCTTGGTCTCTTCACAAGGTACACATCGTCAGTAAAGGGGGTCTTGACCAAGGAGTTCTTGTGCTCTCTAGCCATCTCGGTTGGTGTCTGAATTCTTAATAGCTTCTTTTCGTCGAAGGCATCTTGTACGCGTGCGCCATCTGGAACGCCATTGGACCATATCGTAAGCCTATGGCTGGACTCGGCCTGTTCGTCCTGTGTTCAACGCGGGAGATTATCCGAAGCAACCGCCTCAGACCTCGTCCCTTGTTGTTGCTGAACCTCATTAGGTCGAGCCCCGTTGGGTGGTGTCCCGTTGGCCGGAGGCTCGTGAACTGGAGGTAAATTCTGGGTAGGGGGGTGGTGCTGCAGCATCGCCTGGTGGTGGTTGTGGCGTTAGCCTGGCCATTGCCATGTGCAGCGTATGAGTTTGCTACTGAAGCGCAGCTATCTGGGCGACACTCGTATCGTTTGCTTGCCGGAGTGTCTCAAATTAGTGCAAGAACTCCTCTCGCATCTTTTGCATCAATTCTATCTGTTGATTCATTGCTGACTCTCCGTTTGACATTCCAGATACGACTAAGGATTTGATTTAAAGAACAAGTGGGAGTATATTTTTATACGATTCCCACAGACGGCGCTAAAGTGTAGGTGCAAAATTCCGCTCAACCAATAATGATTAAGAAAAATCAAACAACTCACTCAAAAACAATAAGAATAAATAAGAATAGTGTATAGAAAAGTGTAGAATTGTTTGATTCCTTTATTGGAGGTCTGGGCCTCTATTTATACACAAATAGTATAGTAGAATCATGGTAGGACTCGCATTGCTTGTCCTCCAATCCTTTTCCATGTACAATATTCTCCTTATATGGAGTTCTTTTCTTTGTATAACTCTTCCTATGTAAAATATCTCTCACACGGAAACTTCCTTTGTGTTGAGTCCTTTTCTTATTAGGACTGGACCATAGATGGTGTAGTTGGGCCGGATGTAATATGGGTTGGATGACTTCATGAAGGGGCCGGTACTTCCAATGAGGTGATATTGGGCTGGTTAAGGCTTTCATCCAGTGTTGAAGGTCCAACGTAAGTGGTATTGGGCTGAAAGATAATATAATTTGGGCTTGATCCGGACGGGCCTCATATGTCCTTGGAATATAGATATGTGTAGTGATGACGTGTACGCTTCTTATTGGAGGGAGCTTTTTTCCCTCCACAGTGTGATAGTGACAATCCGCACCATTTTTAATGTATAAGCCAAGGAGGTGAACAAACAATGAGGTTTATACGCACTATATCGATACCATATGGATGTAATTGCATGCAACCCATGCTAATTTATACTACGTAGTATTGATTTTGTTTTGTACCCTTTTGTAGGAGAGGTTTTGTTTAGTTGAGTCACTTTTAGTAAACATTCAAAAATGAATTTGGTCTTTAGAGGAGTCCCAAGAGATATAATTTGGTGGGCCTACAAAGAAAACAAATTCCCTTGCAAATTATAAAAGAATGCACAAACTAAAGTTCATACCACTTTTGGTTACACTAGTGAGGTTTTCATAAACATTGGATTGAACCAAGGATTGGTGCTAAGCCCATATTTTTTTGCAATTATCTTAGATGAGATAATAAAAGAATTACAAATCTAGATGCCATGGTGCATGATGCTTGCCGGTGATATGGTGCTCTTGGATATCTTTAAATAGAGCTTACCAATAAATTTGGAAATGTGGAGAAATGTTTTAGAATCGAAAGGATTGAGGATATATAAAGCAAACTAAAACCGAGTATATGAAGTATAAATTCAATACAGATTCAAACATTAATAATGTAATGATAACACTTGAACACCAAAAAATTACTCAAAACAATTTGTTATCTAGGATCAATAATACACAAATGGAGAAATAGATAACGTTATAACTAGTAGGATTGGAGCGGGGTGGACAAAATGGTGATAAGTTAGTGGGTTTTATGTTATAAAATAAATAAAACATATTCTAAAAGGAAAATTATATAGGACTGTTAGTAGACTAACTATGTTGTGTGGAGCGATATGTTGGGTTCTAAAAAAGAAACAAGAACAGATAGGGTTTGGACATATACATCAGAAACCTAGCACCCATTGGTGAGAAAATTATAGAGACTAGTTAGGACACATACATCAGAAACCTAGAGACACGTTGGTCAAACGAGGAAAACTAGTTGTAATAAGAGGTAAGAGACGAAAAGGACGACCGAAAATGATGATTAAATATTAAGGAAGACTAGTTGTAATAAGTGGATTATACCTCTTTTTTTTCACTTTTATTTTCCGTTGGTGGTTCCTACTGTCCAATCACTTATTATGGGTATGATGATTAAATGAACATGGTTTACAAGGGTTAACTTACAGGGGAGGTTTGAGGTTTGTTCCTTGTTTTACTGGTGTTGCATCGGTAAAAGGGATGGGGAGTTAATGGATCACCTCCTCCTACATTGCCATGTTGCTCAAGGCTGTTGGAACCTTATTTTTGGTTGTTCGGCATCCATTGGGTTATGCCTCGGTATCCGAGGGATTTGATTGATGCTTGGAGAGGCTGCTCAGTGGGAGCCCGTGCTCTTGATTTTCGGAGGGCGGCCCCTTTTTGTATTTGGTGGTGCATTTGGAAGGAGCGGAATAGAAGATCTTTTGACAGAGAGGAATCTTCCATTAGGGCTTTGAAATTTATTATTATTAGTTCTCTTTTTAGTTGGGTGATGGGAAGAAATTGTAAATTTGTAGAGGAGATTGTTGAATTTTTGGGCTCCTTGGGTCCTTAGGCCGTCTCTTTTGGCTTCGGCCCTTATATAACTTCCGGAATGCGTTCCCTCTTGAATGCTTTCTAATATATTTCTACTTATAAAAAAAAAAATGTTTTGTTTTTAATTTTTCACGGTAATATACAAGCTAAGTATGTTTTGGTTGTGCATAAATTAATGTATGTATATGTGATGTCCACACTCGCACATTTTGCTATATGCACTAAGAGAAGGATTTTTTTTTGAACAGGGAAGAGCACACTTTTAAATCATATTTTCAATACCAATTTTACGGAAATGGATGCATTCAGGGGAAGGTTAGTTTTTTCAGCCTCTCTGTTTTGCATCACATTGAGGAGGACAAGTTTATCTTTTTCTAGTCATACAGTTGTTTCTCTTGCTGTTACTTGCACTCATAACCATACAAGAGACATGCAACATATGTTATTCTGTTACAGGAATCAAACAACCAAGGGCATTTGGATAGCGAAGGGTATCAACATTGAACCTCGTACAATTGTCTTGGATTTGGAGGGAACTGATGGAAGGGAAAGGGGCGAGGTAATAGCCTTCCTATTGATCTTTGTTACTTTTATCCAAAGGAATAATAGGAAAAAGTAGAGCTCAGTTGTTGTGATCAGAAAAATGACTGTTGCGGTTACCTTAAACTTGTTATCTCTACCCTTTTGGCCTTTAGTTTAATCGTACAAACCTTTAAATGATGTTTCTTGCTTTATCCAGTTGGGTTCTGAATCTTCTGATTGTGAAATTTGTACGGACGTTTGTGTAGTATTTTAAACCCTGTTCTAATCTGATACTTCGGCGTGGTAATTTTTAAATTTCAGGATGATACGGCATTTGAGAAACAAAGTGCCCTCTTTGCTTTGGCAGTTTCAGATATTGTACTAATAAATATGTAAGCTTGCAATCTTTTCATATAATGTTTTTCTACTTTTTTCTGCCTTATGGCTTGAGAATCGTCTCTATATATGGTTGGAATCAAGAGTGGTCACGAGTCTGATCCAGGTTAACTGAGATCAAAATTGTTTGAAACATGGACTCAAGCATGGCCAATCATGATCATACCAAGATGTGGAAGCCTACTCCCTGCCCGAAAGAAGATTATATAAATTTGCCCAGGATCCAGCTTGACCCTTTTTAAATAACTCATTAAGCAGCTTAACGGGAAATTTGTAGTGAATAAATATTTTATGCTGTTAGCTCACTGATTCATGCTGGAATGGACCAAACTTATCTTTCTGATAAGTGAACCCGAAACTCCAATCAAGCTCTAAAATATAGGTCTGTTCAGATTATCCAGAATGCATATATGGTTGGCCCTAGCGGCTTGGACATGCATCCCAGAAAGTTTTTTCAAATTTTATTTTCTTTAATATATTTCTACCATTACAAGTATGATATTCATATCTGATGCATTTTTGACTGATTATGTTAAGATGTTGGAATTGCATGTCGAAAATTTATTGCATAATGTCTATATGGTAGGGGGATGGAAAAATAGATGGAAGGAAGGGGTGGAGGGATGGGATAGGCGTCCCTAGGGAAGAGAGGGCGAAATTTTTTTGTATAATGCTCTATATGGTAGGAGGGATGGAAAAATAGATAGAAGGAAGGGATGGGATAGGTGTCCCTAGGGAAGAGAGGGTGTTCATTCCTCCCTTTTGGAAAGCCTCTTTCTTCCCTCATATACCAAACAAAGGAAACATGATCGCATTTGGTTTTTAATCCCATTTAATCATGAGCTAAAAAGTTTCTAAGTGTCTTAGATCTTAATGGACTGTAATATCCATTTTTTTTGGTATATATACATGTATAAGAGTTAGTAGTTCAAGTATCAACTAAATGCCTAATATTGCATAACAGGTGGTGCCATGATATTGGTCGGGAGCAGGCTGCCAACAAACCTCTTTTGAAAACAGTATTTCAGGTACTCCCATGTTTATATTAAAGTTGACCTTCTCATGTTGTTTTCTAATTATGACGGTCTATTTTCTAATCTTCAGGTTATGATGCGATTATTTAGCCCACGCAAAACTACACTTCTCTTCGTAATACGTGACAAAACAAAGGTTTGGAATTTAGCAGTTCATTTTCCTGAAAGAAGTTGTTCCATCTACTTTGTTCTCCCTCTAGTTAAATGCTGCCTTATTTCTTTCGTTTTGATTTATTATCTTCCCTTGACTGCCTGCCCATGTAGACCCCACTTCAAATTTTGGAGCCTGTTTTGAGGGAGGATATTCAAAAGGTATTTTGTGCATATTTCCATGTTTTTCCGGTTGTCGTTTGCATCCTTTTTCTAGCTTGCATCTTTTGTCCTTTAGCCTTATTATGGATAATTGTTCCTGCAGATATGGGACACGGTTTCTAAGCCTCATGCCCACAAGGACACATCTCTGAGTGAATTTTTCAATGCAAGACATCCTCTCTGTGGGTGTGTGTGTCTGTATGTGTAAAATTTTCCTTTCTGATTTAGCTTTCTTGGACTTGAAGGTGGAAGTCACTGCTTTATCCAGCTTTGAATATAAGGAAGATAAGTTTAAAGAGGAGGTAGTCCCTCTAATACGAACTGCTTTTTTAAAGCTACATACTATTTACTACAGCTTTTTGTTTTGGTCCTGGATATGCTCTCTATATAACTGCAATTGATGTGCGACGAGCCAAACTTTAAATAGGAATCTCTTCATGCTAGAATTTTGAGAAATCACATGGCCTATCACTTAGAAACCTCCATGTCCTGAGATCTTTTGTCAGTTACACGTCAATAATTTTTTTGGCAATATGAACAATCCTAAGTAGAAATAAAAACATCTTGATGGATTACTTTTGGACACAATCATCAGAGCACCGAAACAGAAGTTCATTTTAATGCATAAACCACAAGTTAGTGGTATAATTATACCAGCTTTTTATGATTATATGTCACAATCACATGCATCTTCTCTTGCATTATTCCTGTAGAATCTCTTAAAAACATTCTTCAGATTCCATCAAAAATTCAGGTGGGTAATTAATGGAAAAGGTCCCCATTGAAAGATATAAGCTCTAGGATGATAGTTGTATATGTCAAAAAACAAGGGTACTTCTGTCCTGCAAATGTTGGAGCCAATTATCTTTTTTTTATTACAGGGTATAGATATTTATACCGAATTACAAAATAGGTGCTTGGAATAATCATTATCTTATACTATGCATTTTCACCCATGTTACTCTATAATTTACAGATGGGTTTTACAGGCTTACAGTCTTTTGTGTGTTAATACAGGTTGCTCAACTGAGGCAGCGTTTTTTCCATTCAATTGCTCCAGGAGGGCTTGCTGGGGATAGACAGGGTGTTGTCCCTGCCTCAGGATTTTCCTTCAGTACACAGCAGATATGGAAAGTTATAAAAGAAAATAGGGATCTTGACCTTCCTGCTCATAAGGTTACATTCTGTTCCTCCCTGTTTTGATAAGAAATTATTGGATTTCTTATGCAACTATTATTATTATTATTATTATTATTATTATTATTATTGTAATATTCTTTTTCTGTATTGCTTTATTCCTTTTTATTTTTACATAACCAGGTCATGGTTGCCACTGTTCGCTGTGAAGAAATCGCAAATGAGAAGCTCAGTTGCTTGAACACCAATGAGGTATTTCATGCATCAATCTTCCATTCTGGTGTTACTTTTGGTCTACCAGAAATCATTTGTTGGGCAAAGCTTAGTTGTTGATTTGATGTAGGGTTGGTTAAAACTGGTGGAAGCGGTTCAAGGTGGTCCCGTATCTGGTTTTGGGAAAAAGCTAAGTTCAATCTTAGAAACCCATATTTCAGAGTAGGTTTTCAGTCCTTATTATATAAAATTAAATTAATATCTTCCTGAACAAGGAAATTAAGTTTTCATTGCTGACCTTTCTAATCTGAAGGCATTTTTGTCAATAAAATGTACGAACCATTAATCTGTTATTATATGACTGCATCATTCAAATAAGATGGATTATTCATTATTCAAAAGGCTTAGAATCTTTTTAGGAAAAGTAACCGGTGAACCTGTTTTTCCGTTTATAGAAATATGACAATTATATTGTGACATCTCTCGGAAGTTAAAAAACCCTTCAAAATATACAGTTGTAAAATTGGTTACAAATTGATCGTTATTGTCTCCTTATATTTATTTATTTTTGTTTGTTTATATGTTACTTTTGTCATAGTTATTATTATTTTGTCACTTATCTTATTGTTATAATAAATAGTCAGGGTAAAGTGCAAAAAAATCCGTTGTAGTATTGACCATATAACATAAAACCCACCTGATTTAATAATTTGGCATACAATCCTTAAACGAACAAATTTGTTACAATTAACTCGTCCGGTGATAAGCCGGTTGAAATTGACCGTGAAGAAGCACATGATGGTTTACGTGACAACCTAAATTTCTTAAATGACCATGCAATTCTTTATGAAACTAAAAGATCATAATGCCCCTTTTATTACCATTAAATCCTAACCAAACATTGCCCTACTTATTGTACATATATATCATATATGTCTCTGCAAACCCAGAAGGGGAAAGTACTACGGCCACGGGGATGGCGATGAGGATTGGCCGGCAACAAGGAACCGTCGGCTATGGGATTCACTGTCTGCGAGGGACTTCGGCTCGCCCCGAGTCAACACAGGCACTATGCCACACCCTGTTCTATACTATAATACTACTTTGGCTCGGACGATTCGAATTTCTCAAATTGGTGATGATGAAATCGATTGATAAATCACTAAGCCGTCGGATCTTAATCGTTGGAGCCTTTTCTCGCTGTCACCGTAACATCTGCTGGTCATCGCGCTCGTCGAAACTTCCGGCCGACTTTTCCGTCGCCACTTTGGTCTCTCGGTCCTCACTGCATTGTAAAAATGGCACCCAAATTTTTTTATGGAAAATTTGTTTGGTGAATGGAGTCTTGAGGTTAGGCTATATTAATCAATTACCTCAAAACTCTCTCCTAATATGAAGAGATCATGGGTTTTCAACTGTCAAAATATTTTCAACCAATTCACCATAAAATTGCAGGCATCCTCAGCTATATATATATATATATATATATATATATATATAAGTTGAATATATAAATAAGAACTAAGAAAAATAAAATGATTGCAATTTGTGATTTAAATATGATTAATTATTGAATTACCCACAAACCCATCATCCAATTTGGTGAGATCAGAGGATGTGTTTGTGTAGGGGAACCCAACTCCAACATGAGATTCCACAAATAGAAAGTTGGCTTCTGCAATTAAAGAAGATACTAAAACTGAAGATGTGCTGTGAAGAAGATGAACAGTGAAGATGTATATATATAAATATATATGTGTGTGTATATACAGAATGGCCTAAGGGAATAACCAAACGACGTAGTTTTAGATGCATGTGAGGAAACAAGAGGAAGAATGTTTACTGTTGCGTGCGTCAGTGTGTGGTTGGGTACTCAAAGGGCAAAAAATATAAAAAGGGAAAAAGGTTGGATGACTTGTCGCATTCTAATTGGTTGTTGAGATTTCTTCCTTTCACATCATCAATCTAAGTAGATATTTGCCAAAACAATGCAGTTTTATAGAGGGGGTAAAATTATTTTTTACTATTTTCATTATTACCAGTTAGTTGACGGGAGATGTCACATTAGGAGTTAATTGTAAAAATTTAATTAATTTAAATGGACAAATTGTAATTCAAGAGGATTAATTACAAATGACCAATATTCAAGAAGGTTTTTTGCACCTTACCCTAAATAGTCATCTCAATTATGCTCCAAAACCTCATGCAATGCATGCTTAATTTGCAAATTGATACATTATTCTAAATGTTAATCTGGTAACTTTGATGTCAATTATGCAAATTGATACATTATTCTAAATGTTAATCTGGTAACTTTGATGTCTTTAAGTCCTATTGAACTGGTATGTGTCATAGGAGGCATGACTTATAATAGAAAAAAATGAAAGAAGAGAATCTATGTGGCCAATCCCATTTGATTTGGACCAAGGCAAAATTGATGATCATTAATGGTTCTGTGCTTATCAAGAACTTATTCTTGTATTGGTTCTGCTTTTTAGGGGTGGAAAGCTCAAGTGAAAGTGAAAATTAAGAGCTATTGTACTTGTTTCAGTTTTTGTCCTTTTGAACTTTCTAAAACTTCATAATACTTTTCTGAAATCAAAATTGGAGATGTTGAATTTTTTGCTCTAATCCTCTTGTTGGTTATTTTCTGAGATAATGTTCCTTTACTAAATTGATTTGGACCCTTTGATCTTGCTTGTTTACTCTACGTATTCTTTTCTATAGTTATGAACTGGAGGCCATGTACTTTGATGAAGGCGTGAGAAATGCAAAACAACAAGAATTGGAGTCGAAAATGTTGCAGGTGACACATTTTTAGTCATTTCCGTCATATTTTTTTAGGTCATTAATAGATTCCATATTTTTATTTGGGTTGTTTGTTTCTCAGGTTGTCTAACCTATTGCAAATATAATCATCTAAAAGTTAAACACTAATGAATTTGAATAATGATTATATGACGATCGCCTTCTTAAGCTACCTGAGATGCAAATTTTCTTTCCAAAAAAAACTTTTAAGTGAATGGGGCCTGTAATATTTAGCTATAATCATTGGTGCTAACTGCAGGCACCAGCTTACTTTTAGAAGCAAGCATTTTTGCTTTCACATCGTTCAGATTTTGAAATTTATTACCAGAGATTTGCTATGCTGCTTAGTTTAGTAGCTAGCACCAAGGAGCTCCATCAAGGCAAAGGTCATCTTACAATTTCTCTAAGAAATTCGAACTACACCATATCTTTAGATATTCAACACAATAATTGAGATTAATTGGATCAACCAAGAATGGTTTGCGATATAGTTTTTTTTGCACATTTGTGGTTAACATTACAGACTTGATAAATTTCCAGGCTGATGATATCTGCTGCAAACAAACTGAAAAAACTGCATGTTAATTCACGTGCAGTGCAGCAATTTCAGTATATATAATTTTGATAATCTGGTCATATAGATTGTTTCTTGTTTGGTTGCATTTATTTTATTTTGTGTGTGTGTGTGTTTTTTTTTTTTTTTTGGGTTGGGGGGGTAATTTTTAAGGATCTCTGCTGAACATTTCTGGCATTATGAGATGTAGAGAAGGGAATGGTGCTGGGGTGGCTATCCTTATTTCATAGTGGTATGCGATGTTATAATAGTGAATACTTATCTTTATTTAATGCATTTGATAACGTGAGTGATATTTACTACGATGAATTGGTAATGTGCAATGAAGGCCACTCATTGTACCAGTGAGGAAGACTACTATGATTCACATTGGGAAGGGGAGGACCAAAACTAACATCGGTTGAGTTCTATTTTACATGAACCCGAGTATGTTATTTGGGTGTTAGTATATGACTGTGTTGTATTTATGAAGTAATAAAAACCAAGGACGTAGTTGTATGACTAGAAAAATCATATTTTATAACATCCTTTTTATTTTTAATTTTTAATTTTTTAGGTTAAATTTATATTTTTACTTAATGTTGAATGTTTAACATAGTTACTTCCTTTTTTTATACTTATCAAAAATATATATATAGTTCACCTTTTTTTTTCCCCAAGTAATTCTATAGGGAACGTGAATCATTAGCTATGCTTGCTAGGTGCATATCTAAATGGACATGAGTTGAGGTAGTAAGAAAAGATCTAATAAAATGTAATTTTAAAAAAAATTATGACCTCAAATATAGCATAATGACGGAACACGAATGATTTATGTAGTCAACCCATAAAGTTGGAACGTAAATGATTTATGTAGTCAACCCATATAGTTGGGACTTGGGACAACATTTTGTTAAGTCATTCTATCAAACCTATTTGAACCATAGCATTTATAGGGAAGTCACTACGTACCACCAAGAGTCAAGAGGGCCAGCACATGTGAAAAAACAAGAAGGAAACATGCATCAACCTTGCCCCTAAGCTCTAATCTGTGAGCATCTGGAAGATCCCATCACATTTTGTTAGTTGTCAAAGTGACAAACCTGAAGTCCCCTTCAAACTACTATTTGACTCGAAGGGATCTAAAACGGCTGAAGCTAGATAAAGAAATATAAAGCACAATATACAAAGTAAGACTTGAAATGTATGCAAGGAGCCAAACCCTGCTCAGATTAGCTCTACAGAAATTGGCTAATGCTGTTTTCTAGGGCAAACATATGGCTACTTCAGTAAGCAACCGGCGAAAGAATTCAGATGCCCACTGAGCAAACAGTAAATAATAGTCTATTTATTATTATTATTATTATTATTATTTCATTTTTTCTCTTTCATGATAGAATTCAGATGCCTACTGAGCAAACAGTAAATTAATGACTGATGAAACCGTAAAATATATTAATTGTTGGCCAATCTGTGGTCCTTTTCTGTACTCAGTGAAAAGGTAATAAAATTTGAGCAGTCACTTTTTGCACATTAAGAGGTCCTAGATGTAGTCCCTCCATTAGAAGAACGATGGATCAATGATTTTTTGCCTAAAAAATTTGACATGTACCATCCATGTTAACTAACCATGACTGTAGCATCATATTTTTCATCAGTTAGCATTAGTACAGTGATGATAAATATTATTCATCTACTTAGATACTTCCTCCATCCCTAATTAGTAGTCAATTTTTCTCTTTTTACATATCCTAGGTGTTCTTTTTAAAATGTCAAAGCATCTTTTCATTATATTCCCATCATTATCCTTTATCTTTTTAAAAATTTCAAACTTTGTAACTATATATATTTAAATTAAAAATGACAATTTGGTAATTTTAAAAGAGGACAATGCATTAATTGCATGTCCCCTTAAAAACTCAAATTTCTAAACATGGACTTCTATTTAGGGACAGAGGTAGTAAATATTATTCATTTGCTTTTCTATAAATACATATATCTTTTTCACATGCTCATTTTTTATGTATCGTGCAGATAGTGCATCCCGCTTACATTACCATGTTGGGACATTTACGTTCTAAAATGCTTGAAAGTTTTAAGACAGGACTTCAACAAGCATTGCACAGAGGAGAAGGGTTTGTTGCTTCAGTTCGTATGTGTACTCAGTCTTCTATGCTCGAGTTCTACGAGGGATGTCAAGGTACTATAATATATATAAAATAGTGGATAATCACGCGTGCAATTATCATGGGACTTTATATTGTTTGATTTGGTTTTGCTTCTACCCTGTTGCAATAGGGTTTTTGCTCCTGCATTCTACGTACATTGCTTTCATATAAATTTTAAGTTACTTTTGTGTGTAACGATTATAAGGTAACACAATTAACCTTTGTCTCATGTAAATTTACTTAATTAATAACTATAAACACAGAAGAAATATATATATATATATATATATATATATATATATATATATATAAAGGAGAGAATTGTATACAGGCTTGAATGAGATGAATCACTCATTCACAGTTCTAGTATTTATAGATAAAAAAGAGCACATACTCATATTACAAGAAATGAAATAAAATCAAATCTAAATCAAATCACATCATATTCTATAGCATAATCAAATCTCTACTAATATAATAAGTCATTCCATAAATTGTAGCTATCATATCTGCTAACACTCCCCTTCAAGTTGTGCGTGGATATCTGAAATGCCCAACTTGGACAATGCATTCTCAAACACAATCTTACTGATGCCCTTTGTAAGAATGTCTACATGTTGCTTAGAGCTTGTGACAAATGGAGTACAAATTTGACCAGAGATGATCTTCTCTCGAATGAAGTGACGGTCCACCTCTATATGCTTAGTCCTGTCATGCTGAATAGGATTTGCTGCTATGCTAATGGCAGACTTGTCGCAGTAAAGTGAGAATGGAAACGACACTGGAAGGCACACGTCTGTTATCAATGTTTTCAGCCATAGAAACTCACATACTCCAAGAGCCATAGCCCTATACTCTGCCTCTGTATTAGATCGAGAGACAACATCTTACTTGTTACTACTCCAAGTAACCAAGTTGCCACCAATAGTGATACAATAGCCCAAAGTTGACCTCCTATCTGAAACTGATCCTGCATAATCGACATCTATCCAAGCCTCAACACATAAGTGACTATGATTGACAAACAAAATACCACGGCCTGGACACCATTTGAAGTAGCAAAGGATCCGAATAGCTGCATCAAGGTAAAGGGTGCAGGGAGAGTGCATGAATTGATTCATGACGCTCACGATATAAGTAATGTTAGGTCGAGTCATGGATAAATAGATGAGCTTCCCAACAAATCGTTGATACTACCAACATCCGACAACAACTCCCCCTCAAAATCAGCCAACCGATGATTCTGCTCAATCAGAGTATCAGCAGGACGAGTGCCAAGCTAACTAGAAGTAAAAAGCAAGTCAAGATCACACTTGCACTGAGAGATCGAAATACCATCCTTGGAGCGAGCCACCTCAATACTGAAGAAGTACCGAAAAGGACCAAGATCCTTAATCTCAAACTGACGGCCAAGATAGCTCTTAACCTCAGTAATTCCTACAGTATCATCTCCTGTAAGAATAATATCATCGACATACACAATAAGAGCATTTGTCTTATCACCTGAATGACGTAAGAATAAGGTGTGATCAGCTGCGCTCTAATGGAAACCAAACTTAAGCATGGCAGTGCCAAAACGATCAGACTAAGCTCGAGGAGACTGCTTAAGGCCATACAGGGAATGACGAAAATGACAGACTATACTATAATGAGTAGGAGAACGAAAGCCTGGAGGGGGAACCATATACGCCTCCTCCTGCAAATCACCATTGAGAAAGGCATTCTTGACATCTAACTGAAATAGAGGCCAAGATCAAATCGCAGTAACAAAAAATAATACATAAATGGTATTCATTTTGGCAATAGGGGCAAAAGTCTCCTGATAATCTATGCCATAAGTTTGAGCATAACCTTTGGCAACTGACCTATCTAGATTATGCTTAACTGTAAACACCCAACAATAACCCACAACCTTTCGTCCAATACGAAGTAGAACCATGTCCCAAGTATGATTTTTCTCATGTGCTTGTAGTTCTTCTGTCATAGCATCACGCTATTGAGGTTGTGCTAGTGCATCTGCAACACTAGAAGGAAGAGGAACCGAGGGAATAGAAACAAGAAAACTTTGATAGAAGGGTGAGAGAGCACAATCAGAAACAAAATTAAAAATAGGGAAAGTGCAAGAATGTTTACCTTTCTGAAGAGCAATGGGGCGATCATCAAGCGAAATAATAACTTAAGAAGGCGGAGCTAGTGCCGAAGGTACAAGGCAGTCGATCATGGGAGTAGAAGTTTATACTTGTTATCTCCGACTATAAACCTGTGGAAAAGGAACAATTTCCACTGCCGGAGGGGTATTACGAGAAGGAATAATAGAAGAAGAAATAGGCAACGGTAGAGGAGTTGAAGACGGAACAAGGTGATCATTAATTGTATTCAATGGGAACCATTCAATTTGAGAACCAACTGAATAACTATAGTATGGTGTATGCTCAAATAAAGAAACATCCATGGATATAAACCGCTGACTACTAGGAGGATGGTAACTCCTATAACCTTTTTGAGAGTAAGAATAGCCAAAAAAAACACACTTTAAAGCCTTGGGGTTAAGCTTTGTACGAGTTTGCCCCAACTACTGAATAAAGCACACACACTCGAACACTCGCGAAGGAATAATAGTAAATAAATAAATAAATAAAATGAATTTGGATGTAAGATTGAGAGTGGGGGGCTGCAAAGTTAAAAACCCTAGAAGGAGTTCTATTAATGATGTAGACAGCTTTAAGAACTGCATCTTTCCAAAATGATTGGGGAACATTTATACCAATGCAGATTGCTCTGGCTAAGTCAGGATGTGGTGATTCTTTCTTTCAAAACAGCCATTCTGTTGAGGGATTTAACATTAGACATCTAATGTTCAATCCCAAATTCTATACATAACTGCTGTACCTCCCTATAAGTGTACTCCGTACCCTGGTCAGATCTGAATTTTTTCATGGTACAACCATATTGAGTCTGAACTATTGTCATAAATTTTTTTAAAATGGTGTACACCTTATTTTTGGTTTTCATAAAATAAACCCATATAACATAACTATGATCATCAATTAACAATACAAAATATTAAAATCTAAGGCTAGAAGTGTGATACCCCTCAACTTCGAGACATGGGTTAATCAAGCCCAAGCTCAAACCCAAGGGAAATATCAAACAATTAAAGTATTTCACAAGCATTGAGTACAAAATGAATAAGAATAAATAAATAAGCAGACAGAAAACTAAAATAAAATCCTTAAATTAAATAATAATTAAGCCTCCAAAATAAATATCCAAATCCTCGAATATCATTACAACTCGGGAATCCATCGAATGGACCCCTAATAATGCCTCAACTGAAACTGAAATAAAATCTAAAACTAAAACATGTAGAAGAGTCCTACGTAGAGTCGGAAGAGTGAATAACTATCTCTGCTCGGCAAGATCAAGCACTAAGACTGGAATTGTCGAACACCTGAAAAATAATAGTGGATCAAGCACACGAACAAGTTCTACTCTATTACAATCCAAGCAGAGACCCGATACATGTATATATCCTAGTTAACCTAACAATATCTATTAGTCCGTATATAAGTACACACTAAAGGAACGTCACTGAACTATAGGGTTACCTCAACCTGAATAGTAGGCAACATACGAAACACACATATAGTGGGCATGAGTACCTAGACCTACCAAGGCACATAACTCACTATATCTAGCTACACATCCCTGACAATATATGAGCCCTAACCATAGATCCTAAGACTTAAGCTCATATCATGGCTCATAACTATATATATATATATATATATATATATAAAATCCATCTTAAAACATAAAATAAAATATCTGGTATACCATCCAACTAAATCAGTTGACCTGACACGAATATATGTAGGATTTAATATTTTAGTTAATCCACTCCATTACATATAAATAGGTAGGATTTAATGTTTTTAGTTAATCCATCCCTAATATGCACCATCCCATACTGGTGCATAAAATGCATACAATCTATAAATGATGCAACAGAATAAGTAATGCATCAAATAAACCCAAAAATAAGACATGACAAAAGCCATATAGTTAATCTTGCATATAAGTAAGCAAAGATAACAATTCTAAGTAGCATGTATTTAAGTTACACAATAAGAAATTAACATGCATCTCAAATAGATTGCTTAAACCTCTATAGCATAATTAAACTATTTAACTTAAAGTATTTGATTTGAAACAGTTTAATATCATCCACATCCACTAATTAACTTTTAAGTTAATTAAGTCCCATAATTAGCATATTTAGGTATATTATGCAATCAGAAATTTATTGGGCTAATTTTAGACACACTGAGTTATTAAAATAGCCCCAAACATGGCATAAGCGAAAAATCCAAAACTTCTTACGCTGGGCAAATCGGTCGACATGTTTTTCCCTAGATGTTGACGGGAAAACGCAGATGTTGATGGAAAAATAAAGATGTTGACAGGAAAACGTAGATGTTAACTAGTTTATGTAAACTGGTTGACAGAAAACATAGATGTCGACTGGTTTATGTAAACCAAACGACAGAAAGTGTGCAGACATCAACCGATTCATAAAAACCAGCTGACGTGTGCCCTAAACCGGTTGACGTAAAGACTAGGTTGTTCGTCTTTTCCGGCTCCGGCGACTCCGTCCTCCTTCATTAAGAGTACTACTGTTTTAAGTCTAGAACAACCCTAAACATTATTTAAACCTCTTATATATATATATAACACCTTCCCTAATGATCCTTTATTATTCAAAATCATATATAAATATATTTCAATATATACGTATATAAACATCATTCCATACAACTCATAAATTAATTAAATTATATATACACATATATAAATGATTATATATATATATATACACACACACACACCTTCTTCCATCCTCAATTATTAATTAATTATATATACGCCCATTAAATACCGATGTGATACTCTATGGCTCTCAGAACACAGAGAATATCTCCTCTAGTGGTTGTTTTCAACCCTAACAGCCTTGAAATTAAATCTGAAAATT